AAAACAAAAACAACAACAACAACAACAACAACAACAACAACAACAACAACAACAACAACAACCACAACAACAACACCAACAGCAACAACAACAACAACAACAACAACAACGAAAACAACAAAGACAATAACTAGTCGGAACTAGTGGCGTAGATCTGTGAGTCTTGCACCGTGGGCGACATGGAGCGTGGGATCGGTTCTCAGGGCGCTGCTAGTTGTGTTGATCTGGTGTTTATACTAAGCTCTATGTCATAATGGTATTGTATAGCCAGAGACATGACCAGGTTGTATGATGAGAGGCGAACCGGTGCAGGGTGAAAACAACATCAATGCCTTGTGTCAGTTTGTCTACTTGTGTCAGTTTGTCAATTTTAAAAGTTTTTGAAATCGATTTTTTTTCTCCCTAAATGATGTAGTATGTATTTCGTTTAGGGTGAAAAACACCAAAAAAAAATTTCGAAGATTTCAAACAAAAGTACACTGGCATTGATTTTGTTGTTTTTGATGATGTTTTCATTGTTGTTGTTGTTGTTGTTGTTTTTGTTTTTGTTTTGTTGTTGTTGTTGTTGTTGTTGTTGTTGTTGTTGTTGTTGTTGTTGTTGTTGTTGTTTGTTGTTAATATTGTTCGCGTTGTTGTTGCTGTTGTTGTTGTTGTTGCTGTTGTTGTTGTTGTTGTCGCTGCTACTGTTGTTGTTGTTATTGTTGTTGTTGTTGTTGTTGTTGTTGTTGTTGTTGTTGTTGTTGTTGTTGTTGCTGCTGTTGCTGTTGCTGTTGCTGTTGCTGTTGTGCTGTTGTTGCTGTTCTTAACCTTGTTGCTGTTATTTTGATTTAATTGTGGTTTTCGTTGCTCTTGTTGTTGTCGTTTTTTTTTGTTGTTGTTGTTGTTATCTTTCATACAGTATACTTCCATGGGTTTTCAATTTGTTTTTCGGCTCACCTTATTGGCTGAAAATTAGGCCAAAAATCAAACATTTCAAACCGGATTTCCTCGACACTTCTACACGTTTTACGTTTTTTTGACTTACTTGTAAAAGGGTTTTAACATGATATATCACTCGACCCATTCCGATGATAATTTGTGATACCTAATTTTGCGCGGAAAGCAAAAAAAAAAGAAAGAAAAGGAAAAACTATAAAAAACCTGAAAACCAAGGTCCTCTGTAAATGGTCGAAACCAAGGTCCTTTTAAATGGTCAAAACAACAAGGACAACTGTTTTGTTTACTGTGTAAGTAGCACAGAACGCTTCCACCATACTCTTATTTTTTCAGGTTGGTGTCGTTTTTTCTGTGTGGTGTGATGAAAAAATCTGAAGAAAAAAAACCTAGTAGACAAATGCAACATTCTTAGTCAAATAGGCCAATTAGAAAACAGTCTTTGTAATAAAAATGGCCAGTAAAACAAAAAAACGGTTGAGCCGATTTTAAAAGTTCTCAAACGTTTTTTCTTATTTTGTTCGACTGTCAAAATGTCAAGTTTATGTCAAGTTTATGACTGACAAAATGGCACCAAAAATGAAAAATTAACTTTACTAGAGCAGCATTAGTTTTACGCCAATTTATTTTATTTAAGTTTAAATAAGCTATTGTAAGCCTGCATGATCACCTGATTATCCGGAAACTAGAGCAACAATGAAAGATTTCAAACCGGTTTTTCTGAACACTGAGAAAAAAATTGAATCACGACTAGAATGTCTTCATTATGATATGTAATTTAACCCAGTCAGATGATTATTTTTGAAACTTGCTTTTGTGTGGAAAAAATCAACCGAAACACTCGAATACAAAGTTCTTCTACATTTTTTAAATGGTCGGTACAAAAACGACTGCCTTAGACTGATGCTTATTGAAGACTAGTTCGAATTGAAAAATGAGTTAGAAGGTTAGGTTTGAATTGAGCTGCGGAACAGTGGTGATTTTGCTAGCAATAGCTAGAACTATCAACCGATGGTCAAAACCAATGTCAAGTAGTTGCAAAGTAGAGTACTAGTAAGGGAACATAGTGTGATCTAGTGATAACTAAGTGTAAAGTACATAGTTGACACAAGGAAAAGGTTGCCGGCAAAAAAAATGAAACAGAGCAGTCAAAATGTTTCAAGAAACTTTTTAATAAACAGTTTTCTTAATTCATTTGTCGCTTCGGCATTCATTTTTTTCATGTGCCGTTGGTGTTTTTTGATGGCGGTAAATGATGAAAGTTTTTTGATGAAAATTTTTTGTTTTTTGTAGAAGTTTGAATTCACTTTAAAACTAGTTTCCTTAGAAACTCTTTAATGACAATACTTGCCATTCAGTGCCCCAGACTTTTTGGAAAATTATGTATTTTGTTTTCTTTTTTTGAACCGTCCTCTATTGATTTCTGATTGCGAAATTTCCGGACGGTTCCCCATTCGACAGCCTTTTTTCTAATCAATCCTTAAAGTTCTCAATAGAGAATAAGTTTGAACTAAAGAAGACAAAAGAAGAAGAGTCAATAAATTAAGAACGTAACAGCATAACAAAATGGACTATGAAGGCAGTCAAATTAAGAGACAATGGCCGTGCGAAATCTGCTACTGGCCGGAGATATAAACCGACCTCGATTATTAGATTTTTGTCCGTCAAAAACCGTGTTTGGCCAAAATATGAGTTTGATCACACGCATAAAATCGGTCCTGTTTAAATTTGTCTAATTAAGCAAATGGTTTATATATTTTATTGTCGTTTTAAGCCGACTAAAGGCCGAAAAAACTGTCGAACTTTTTTTGCATAAAATTATACACAAAATTAAATTTTGATTGACAACTTTTCTCCAGCACATTTTTACAAATCAACACATGCTCTCACGAGATTTCGAAGCGGTCAGGGCCCGTAGTTATTTGGGAAAAGTATAGAAGTTTCACCAAACTACAGCGATTTGTCTGCTTTTTGTTGAGGTTATTGAAGGAGAACAAAAACTTCCGCGGGCCTACCGCTCAATTTACCGATGCGACCGAATACAATTGCGAAAGATAAATTGTTCTTTTTGGCTCAATCCGAATCGTTCTTGGTTGATTTCAACCAGCCTCAACCTGGCATACCGTAAAAAGGTCTAGCCGTATTGCAGGTTTCTTGCCGTTTATTGACCCCGGTGGCACTCTTCGTTCTACTGGACGGATTAAACGCTTAGCCGAAATCTTGGATTCTCGTCATTTGTTGGTGAAACTGTTTCTGAGGGATCTGCATTTTGCCCTTGGTAACCAACGCTTGGTTTTATTGCGGTCCAAATTACATATGGTGTTTGTGGTGTTGGGTCTGCGTGCAATTGAAAGACATTGTTTTGCTTGCAGAAAACAGAAGCCAAACAATTTACATCCTATGATATCAGACTTCCCTGTCGAGTGGCATGGTTACCAAGAACGCCCGTTCATTAACTGTGGGGCGGAATATTTTGGTCCTTTTTACATAACTGTTCGCTGTTCTGTTCACCTGTATAACTTCCCGTGCCGTACACATCGAAATTGTTCCGTCTATGGACATGCGCTCTTGCGTCATGGGGATTGACAGATTTAGCGCCCGCTTTGGTAAGCCAAATCTTGTGTAGTCAGAAAATGGTATCGATTTCGTTGGAGCGGAGAAAGAATTTCTGCTTTGCGTAGAAATTTGAAACAGGCATGCCCCCTAATTGTTACTGCATAAGAGGATTAAATGGAAATACAACTCTCCCGGCGCGCCAAATCATGGTGGGACTTGGGAAAGGTTAAAACGTAGTTGCAAAAAACTTTTCCACACAATTATTTGTTCGCAGGTTGTGGGATGAGGTATTGTCTATCATGTTTTGTTTATTGGAGCAATCGTTGAAGGCCCGTCCAAAAACGCCAGTTGGTCCTGGCCTAACTGAAATGGAAGCGTTCACCTCTAACCATATCCTCTTAGGTAAGCATTCTGTCAGTTTTCTGTCGCTAACACTGAAAAGTTCGAACTCCGAGAACGCGCTACGTAAGAGCACAAGCTAACGAAATGCTTTTTGGTAGCGTTGGCTAAAGGAGTAAGTCGCTTCCTCGAGTAAACGTTCTAAGTGGCATACTGATTCAGGCCGTGATTTACGGAATGGTGATCTCGTTTGGATCGTCGATCCCAGCAGCCCTCTAGGACACTCACTCCCTTTCAGGTCGAGTTTCTGCATTGAACTACGGCAACGATAACATCGCTCGTTCGGCAACCGTTAGGACCATATGAGGCCAATAAGTAAAGCGCCTAGATAAAGTCACCTGAAACAGAAGCAAAGAGGAGAGCATTTGGAAATGTTAGATAGACAGAATGAACGCGCCCGTCCCCTTTTGAGTTCTGATTTCAAAACTTAATAAAGGTTCCACATTTGACAGCCTTTGTTCTAATTAATCCATAATGTTCTCAAAAGAGAGTAAGTTTAAACTGTAAAAGGCAGTAATTTAGTAATTTAAGAACGTATCAGCGGCAAAAAAGGGAATGTAAAGGCAGTCAAATAAACAGACAATGGTCGTGCGACTTGCGACCGACCGAAGATACAAACCGACCTTGATTGACAGGTTTTCTTCAGTCAAAAACCGTGTTTGTACAAAGTGTGAACTTGTTCACCAGGTTAACATCGGTGCTGGTTAAAATTGTCAAATTAACTAAACAGTCTTTCCAATTTTTTTTCTTTTTTGAGCCGATTAAAAGTCAAAAAATTTGTCGAACTTGTTTGCATAAACTTATATCCAAAATTCAATTTTGGTCGACCGTTGTTCTCCAGCACACTTAAATGTTCGTATTGTCACCCATAGTTCCATTTTTGACTATTTCAAGTCAAAAATTTCAAAAACGGCATTTACTTTGCAAGACTGTTTTGAAAATTGAAATGTCACAGTACTACAAAATTCAATTTTTCATGAACAATTTTTCTAGAGAAAAAAAGTGATGTATTTCAATTATAATTAATCAAACTATTTGATGAGAAGTTCTGATTTTACTGAACAGTTTTAATGATATGTAAATTTTGTTCATCGATTTTTTTGTTCATTTTCTCCCATTCTTCGTGCTGTTTGGTTTCTGTCGACGGCCAATTTATCCAACAGTATCAGGGCCAAAGTTCAGTATTCTTTAAAAGCCATTCACAGAAGGGTTACTCTGCGTAGTTTCATTCTGGTTCTAAAAACAAACCTTGAGTTTGTACATTTTAGTTTAAAAAATTCCCCTTTCTTTTTTCTCAAAAATTCAAATTTCGGCTTCCTGAGCATCCAATGGGCTCAAAAGTATTTACGACATCAATTTTATGCATACAGATTTTAAAAAAATTGTTTTTAAAAATCATCAGTGCCTCAGTGCCTGCCTGCAAAGCTGATGACGCATTGGTTTTTTACATAAACTGATTTGTTTCATTCTGAAGTGTTTTTTTTCTGAAGTGAAAATAAAAATAGACCTTTGCATAATTGGGGTTACTTGAGTTCCTCGGCAAATTTTCTTCCATTTTTGAGTATGATTGCTTGGGCTTTTCTTCATTGTTCATTAAACTTTGATCAATAGCTTCGTTGAATTTATAATGCGTGGAGCAGAGTTGAAGCAAGTATTTTCCTTTTTTGATCGAGTCTGTCGCAAACTTCAAAACAGGATAATCTACGCTGTAAGTTTCAATAAGTAAACTTGTTTTAGATAAAGATACGCTTTTAATATGGGACCACTCGACAGTGTATGCGAGCTCTCGGAACAATTCATCGTTGTCGTCAAGCCGCCAGCAATCAACGCCAACAGTCGAGATTCCCAAAACCACTTGGAATATTTCCGATCCTTGTATCTCGACAACTTTGTGAAAATGTCGACCATAGTCTAGTATTCTACAGCATTGCATGATCATTCGGCCTTCGGCTTCGGTTTTGTTCAAACCCGAGTTGGCCTCGTGTAAGGTTATGAGAGCCGACTCGACTTTGTCCGACCCGAGGTAGGAGAGTACGCTCTGGGCCACGTAATTTTCAGGCTTGAAGTATCTGAAAAACTAGCATTCTTTTCAAAGTATTATGAATACTTATCAGCAATGTACTGAAAAAGTATCACTCAAATCGTGATTTTTTTCATATGCGTGTCTTTCAACCAAAACAATTATTCCAAGAAACCATAAATATAAATGTAAGAAAACATAAATATGAAAAACCTTTCGTCGTGATATCTGCTTTTGCGTTCCGAAACATATATACAAACAGGTTTTTAGGGTTGGTTTGAGTCAGATCAACTAATCTCGTGCGAGGTTGTGGCTTCAAGATCACACAATCCGGACCAAATTCTGGTATTTCACAGACTATCGCAACCAAAATTGAGCAGCTTCAGACCGTAATTCCAGTGTTTTCAGACTTCGCACACCGAGGAACTGTAACAGCGACCGGCGCGACCGAAGGAACTTAACCGCAACCTGCCGAGCCATAGGAAAACTAACCGTTACCGATGCCACCGGCGTGTCCAAATGAACTTAAAGCTTGAACAAGATTTGGGGTTTATGTATCGATCATCTCGACACAGGCTGAATAAGTTTTCTTTTCGGCTCAAGCCATCTATCTTTCGACTATAAATGTTTTATCTTTCTTTCGACTATAAATGAGGTAAAATGTTTTGACTGAGGTCAACTGAGCAATTTTTCAACCAAAAAACAATTAATACGAGGTCAACCTATGTATTTAATGAATTGCAAGCGGAGTCCGTAACCGGTTGAAAAACTATTGGCACGGAGTCCGAAAAACGTCTATTTCAAATTGATCTTATTGCTGTTTTGAATCCGGGAAATTCATAACCAAAACACTTATTGCTCCAAAATTAGTCACATTTGCGGAATCCAGAACAACTAGCTACACTGGCTCGCTGGGAAATCCGCGACACAAATAGTGTACGGACAATTTTTAGGTTTCACGGTATTTTTGTGCGAAAATTTTGTGAGTGGAGTTGACTTAAATTTAACATATTTAAAGACATGAGTTTCGGTAATTTACTGATACCAAACAGTCTGGTCTCAAAATAGTTCAGATGACTTGGAAACCCTAAATCCAAGTTCAATTTCCCCAAACTCCTAACACGACTTATTTTTTTCCCATGTTGCGATTAAGTTTTCAATCAAGCCATGACCTATTTTTCGACTCTGTCGTGACTAATTTTTTGACCCAGCTGCGACTATTTTTTCGAATTGGCGCGAATAATTTTTTTATCAGTATTACAGTACTTCAGGACTTTGTCAGCAATTTAAAGCCCTTTCCAGGCTACGGATTTTTTTGTCGCTGAGTTAACATTGGCCAACCAAGTCGAAAAAAAAGTCGCGGGCCACGACCCGGGCTATCCATTCAAAGTTCACTTTTGTTATTGTTCTTGAAAAATACGACAATTATATTTCAATATTTGTGATAAATAAATTCTTCTTTTTACCTGCCATTTTCAGTCATGTTTTTGCCTGGGTGGTCTCCAAACTCTGCTTGGAGGGCGAGTGATGCGAGGATTAGAGAGAGTTCCTCGGAACAATCGTACTTATCCTCCACAAGATCCCTTCTCAACTGCAGATAGAACAGATGTCTGGTTAAGGGGTCCAGAAGATTTCGAATGTCTGGAGCGTAAAATTTCACCTGGAAAAAGAAAGAGACATCTGGTGTAACGTTGCATGCATAAATCTAAAATTTTAGATCAGCTCTGAGTTTTACACAAACAGGTAGGAATCTAAAGTTTTCTTGAGACAGCGATGGGTACTCAAAAACTTCAGAATAAGTTTATAAGACGTTTTTATTGCCAGTTCTCTTTGAAAATACTAAAAATACCCTAGTTTCCTATAAAAAATGCGTTCCCGGCGAATCTTTTTAGAAAGCAAGGCAAAATTTCAACAAAAATATAGGTCAATTTTGGTTAAACGTTTTTGACCAGAAAATCATCGCGTTTTTTCGGCGCACTCTCCCCTTAATTATAATTTATAATGAGCTTCTTCAACTTTTTGGTATGGTTGAACTTCAAATTATTGCATCAATATTCATTACTATTGCTTGCAAAGAAATGCAGCTCAACTTCCGAAAATCAAATATAATAAACTTTAACTTTCCCAAAAAAATAATTGGAAAAATTGGGTTCCATTAGTGTTAAAATTACAACAAGATCTAGTATTTTTTTGAGGAGGGAATTTTGTCGATCTTCTAAAAGTTATAGCGCTATAGGCAAATTTTCTGGGAGTAAAACACGCCAAAACCTGCCATATATTTAGAATAAACTGATTAGATTCGTTTTGACAGTTTTGTTACTAACTTGCAAGTTTAAGCAAAATGTTGTGGTTATCCCGTGTCGCCACATATCCGGTGCCACCTCACTCAATTGTTCCGGGAATTCCAGGAAAAAGTACTCGTCCTGGCTAAAGTGTGTCAGTCCGAAAAACGCATGCTCCAATATCTTCAGATGATCAACGACAGCGTCAAAAATATCCTGAACAGTGTTGTCTGTATAATATATTATTCTGCATAATTTCTATACTTTTACATAACTTTTTTCTATTCGATTTTAAAGATTTTGGCTCAAAAATCTCTTCAGTGATGGATGCAGATTCATACTTTTACGTTCCGAGAAAATGTTTTTTTTTTTCAAAAAATGACACTTTTTGAAATTTATAGGGAAATCATGATCATTCATGGCAAAATGGTTCACTTCAAAATTAAATCGGGCTGAATTATGTTTTTTTTGCAATCGGTCCGAGTCATTATTAATTCGAGGGAGGGGGGGAGCGGTGATGCAGCAGCTTGGATTCGAAACCAGGCGATTTAAAATATAGGTTAATATCATGGATTTTTGGACCGTGATTTAAAAATACGATAAATTTAAATGTATAAGAACTTAAATAATAATATAAGAAGTCAAATATGACAACAGCATTCCTGTATCGATGATTTCAGAGTACAAGCCACGACCAATTGCCGACCATTGCTTAGTTCAATCATAACATTTCGCTTTGAATCAGCACCACTATCATTCTCAAGGTCAAAGAAGTCGCTTTCAAATGGAATGCTGATAGTTTCAGGTGTTTGTGAGCTCCAGTATACGAATTCGGGACCTTTCATGTGTGTAGTAGACACGGAATCATCATTTGAAGATTTGCTATTAGAGCTTTCGACTTGTTTTTGATCAGCTTTTGTGAGAGCGCTATTCGTTTGCGTGATGTGTTCTCCCGCCGCTTGGTGTAACAAAACTTCATTTCTTTCGGAAACATCGTCGAAGTCTTCGGTAGACGTATGTTTGTCATTAAAAGATGGCTCTATTTTTGGTGCGAAATTGTCATTTTTCAGAGAGTTGCCTGTATTTTTCTTTTGGTTTGCAACATTTTCCCGCTCGCTCGGTGCTATAATCTGTCCAGCAAAGCCGTTATTTTTGTTCATTAGATCAGGTTTTGCATTATGGTTTCTATCTGCGATTTCTCTTGTCTGAAAGTTTTCCACTTCTGGAAAGTTTCTAGCTGCTGTTAATTGTTTAGTTGGAAGTGAAGAGATGCCCAAATAAGGTAATTGTGATAGGTTTGCATCATGCACTTGTTTATCAGATGATATATGGTTAGTTCTTTTCTGGTGAACTTGACCTTGTTGGTAAATTGTGCGGAATGCTGATGGATGTTGGTTATCGCATTGGGTCGGGTTTTGTTTCAGTACTTCAGGAATATATTGTGATTTTTGTTGTTTAGGGTGATTTGTTGGATCTCCGAACACGTATTGAGCCAGTTTTCCAATCACCATTTCTGGAGAGGACCCTAAAAGGATTCTTTGAGTGAATTGATAAAAAAAGTGGTACTTTTAACACTGAGTATCTGAAATTCTCTAAAACAAGTTAAGAATCATTTTAGTGACAAAACCGAAACTTGTTTTTGAGTATTTGTGAAATTTTTATTTTAAAAAAATGGAATAACTTATACATTAAATATACAAAAGCATTTCTAGTTGAGTTTCTCACCATTTAGAGCAACCTGGTCAACCGCTATGTCCAAAATGTCTTCAAAACTTGCTCGAACTACCGGGACATTTTGAATCATTTTAGCCAATAGATTCCTTAGCGTAGCCGTTAATTCTTTTTGGTGTCTCATTTCTTGGAAAGTCAGAGCCCAGAAAACAACAGCTCCAAGCGAGAACACATGCGCGGCTTCTATGTGTTTAAGCATAGCCAGAGTTTGACCTTGTAACACTTCGGGCGCCAAAAAATGCGAAGCTGCGTAAGAAGATCTTTTAGAATAATCTGAAAACTCGATCGTGCCAGTAAGCTCAAAATTTAGGGTATCAGGCGTGATAATGAAGGAAAGTCGGTGGCCGTTAAGAGCTAATCCGTTTATAAGAATATCTCTAAGGGTTTTCACTCCTTGATAAAGAATAATCCAGGCCTCCGAATCAGAAATTGGGCTCAATCGAACATCGCAGATGTCTGAAATAGACGCGCGTAGATTTTTAGAACTTCTTTGCATAGTCACTTATTTATCTTTATATTATTTGGAAGCTATAATTATTAATTATGACTATATCTGTATATAAGAGCTGATTCAGCAAGTTTGAAAGCGTAGGAAAATAATTGAAATAATCGGATTTTTTGCATAGAAAAAGTGCTTTTAATATACGAGTTTCAGTCAAACAAAATGATATAAGCTGGAAATTAATTGTGTCGTTTTTTGCATAACAATTGTTTTCATATAAAAATGTACATATTGATTCTTTAAGGACTGCGACATGTTTTTTCTCTTTTTAGAACGAACGGAAAACTGTTTTTAGTCACCATTTTATTTCAAGCTATCTTTACTTTTTCCTTGAGCATTTTTTCATTTTAAACTTTATATTCAATTGCTTTGCCTCAACCGAATCTGTTTTACAGCAAAACTCCAACGCTAGTTTACTCCGATCACTATCCCGAAATAATGAAAAGGAACACTGACCCAGATGCGTTTTTCTTCACAAAAATCAGGTACTTCAACGTACACTAATAATAATAGTATAATAAAAATAAAGTGTTTTCGAGCTTTAATATAACATAATATGACATTCAGATAACATCAGATAAAAAGAGTATCCCAACACTAACAAAACTAAGAAATTGAACAATTGTTCTCTTCAATAACATACTTTTTATGATGTCTTTTAAACAAAAATTTGTTGAGCGCGGCATAGTGATAAAATTTCATCAGGCACTATTAAAATTTCAAAATGTAATGAAGTTTTTCAAAAAAAGTTATAAAATTGATCGAATTTTGAATTTTTTTCTCATTTTTTTCACTTTAGTTGAGCCATTATTTGCTTTGTTTGAATCGTGGCGCGACAATTAGTCGCATGCGACATTTGGGAAAATTTCAAGCAGAAACTAATCTTTGCAGCCCGGGTAGGTTTTATATTGAAAATTGGCGATTAAAAAGGAACGAAAAAAAAACAACGATGGACATTGGTGAGTTATCAATGCTCATTTCTCACCAGCAGTTTTTAAACAAAAATTATTGCTAATTTGGCTAACTTTTAGCGATGAAAAAGCATTACATAACCTATCAAAATGAGCAAAAAACAGGTACCTATCTGTTCTTGAACAGTCAATCATCTGCTCGGGAGATATATATGCTGCCTCTGCGCCATGAAGCTTTGTTTTCTAACAAATTATACAGTTTATTAATAATTCAATCTCTCATTTAATTTTCTTTAATTTTTATCTGATTTTCTTTGGAATCATTTAAATCAGCGCAAGCAAAGAGCAATCACTGGGATACTTAAGAAAAACGATAATTAATGGTGGGATTTTAACCATGGAGAGCAATTGCAAAAAATATGTATTTCAAAGCAAACTGATTTGGTAAGGCACAGCCAGTAAGTGGCTATGCCTTAGCGGGTGTAGGGTTCAATTTGAAATTTTTCACTGAACTACAAATTCTTGAATAAAATGTCTTACGAGTTTTTTCTTTTGCAATTGCGACCAACTGTCGCTTGCAATTAATTTTCGCCTTGGATCCATTGTCGCTTGCGCTGAAATATCGCCATTCCATTTGAACGCACCGTACCAAAATTTTATTCCTATTTAGAAAAAAAATCTCAAAAAAAATTGTGGTATAACTGGACTTGAGTCCGACTATCATTTGTAGAAGCCTTATTGTGCTTGAAGAAGAAAACACGAAATCTCTTCTTCAAAAGAGTTTTCAACAACACGATTGAAACTTTCGGTTGCCAATCAGGTTTACATCATGAAAAAGCAGAGCAAAACAACGTAGATGAAGGCTTTTTCAGATCAGGTTTAGCTAAAGTACAAAGACGGTGTGGCAGGCTACGTGGTTTTCCGATTATAAAACATTATAAGAGATTTTCGGAAAAATTGTAATCAGTTATAATTATTAAATTATCACAAAAATGATATCAAAAGGATTATAAATCGTTTAAACATCTAAAATTGGCGCTTATAAAATAATTATAATTCTGCTTCGTGTACGATTATAATTATAATATAATCGATTATTTTCTCTTTTTACTGAGTGCGGGTCCGACCATTTGAAAAATGGGGAGGGAGGAATTTTGAATTCGGGTGTGTTTCAGGTTCTTTTCTTTTGTTTTTGTTTTTCTCGCAAAACTATGTACCGCAAATTATCATTGGAATGGGTCAAGTGACACATCATATTAAAATCTTGTCAATCAGGGGCGGATCTGGGGTTTTCTCGAGGGGGGTTTTTGAGTTATGTATCAACCAAATTGAGTTTTCAAGCTGTTTTTGAGCAATTTTTGGGAAATTTTAACTTAGAAAAAACGCTGTTTTTGGCGCACGTTCCCTCTCGAAAGTAGTGTATTTTGGTGCCGAGACGCCCTAAGGAAATTTTCAGGGTCGGTCAGCCAAAAATGGATTTCTTAAAAAGTACCAAAAGGTGACCCTTTGGGTCGGCAGGGGTCGAATCCCTGAAAATTGAGAAAGTCGAAAGAAAGGATAAGCCATGAATCTTTAGTAATAATGTTTTTTGAGTTTTTAGCGCTTTTTGGAATAAAAAACTTCAAAACTATTATTGCAAAACGAAATGAAAAATATTTTAAATTTTTTTCGAATTTTTTTTTCAGTTTTTTTTTTGACGAAAAACCGTTTTCCGATTTGCTTATTTTACATTGATTGACAAAATATCTAACTTTCATGTTTCCTTCAGATCCTTTAATCACACCACGCGCAAAAAACAACACTAATTTGAAAAAAAAACATGAAAAAAAAATTTCATGTATTTTCATTAGAACATGTTTAGAACAATTTGTACTATTTGCACAGAAACTGGCTATCCTTGTTGCAGTTAAACTTTTCAGTGACTAAAATCAGTTTTTGAAACGCAAACTTGACCTTGATTTATTATGAATGTACATTCTTTGCATGCAAATGCTTTTTTATCAACAGAAAACTCATTGAAAAGCTTTGCAAAAGCAATTAAAATTGAGCTTCTTAGCATTTAAAGCATTTTCGTAAACCGCAATGCCCAAAATATCCTCAAAACTTGCTCGAACTACCCGGACATTTTGAATCATTTTAGCCAATAAATTTCTTAGCTTAGGCGATAGTTCTTTTTGGTGTCTCTTTTCTTGGAAAGTCAGAGCCCAAAAACCAACAACTTCACGCGAGAACACATGCATGGCTTCTATGCGTTAAAGCATAGCCGGATTTTGACTTTGTAACACACTTCAGGCGCCAAAAAAGCGAAGCTGCGTAAGAAGATCCTCTAGAAAAATCTGAAAACTCGATCGTGCTAGTAAGCTCAAAATTAAGGGTATCAGGCGTAATTATGCAGGAAGGTCGGTGGCCGTTACGAGCTAATCCGTTTATAAGAATATCTTTAAGGGTTTTAACTCCTTAGTAAAGAATAATCGAGGCTTCCGAATCAGAAATTGGGCTCAATCGAACATCGCATATGTCAGAAATAGACGCTCGTAAACTTTTAGAAATTCTTTGCATAACCGCATGTATTTATTTTAAAATCATTTTCAAACTATATTAATATAATATGTCTACATTAATATTAATAAATCTAATCAAGGAAGTTTGAAGGTATTTTGGAAAGTATTTTTTTTGCAAAGAAAAAGTGCTTTTATTAAAAGAGCTTGAGGCAAACAATACGGTTTAAACTGGAAACTAAACGTGTAATTTTCTGCATTTTTTTTTACTCTTTATAAATTATACGAAATGATACTTTGACGACTGTGGCATGTTTTTTATTTTTCTTTCACAATGGAATTGCCAATTTTGAAAAGAACAGAAAACTGTTTTAGTCATATCATTTTAATTCATTAAATTTTTAGTGAGCATTTATTCAATGTAAAATTGATATACAATTGTTTTGCCTGTTGAATCTGTCTGAAAGCACAATTACAAAACTGGTTTACTCCGATCACTCTCCCGAAATAATGAAAAA